TTTCATCTTCCTTCTTTTTTTTTTTTTTTAACCAGGATTTGTTCAAACCCTGGTACAAAATGTGGCTCAGTGGTTAAGCACCCCAGCCCTATCCTTTTTAATTTTTTAAATTTTGAGACAGGGTCTTACTGAGTTTCTTTAGAGCCTCAATAAATTGCTGAGGCTGGCTTTGAACTTGCCATCCTCCTGTCTCAGCCTCCTGAGCCACTGGGATTACAGATGTGTGCCACCTTTATTTCACCTTCATTCTTAAAATGTATTTGCTTTCAGCTCTTTAGTCATCCTATCATTTTTTGACTTCAGTTATTTCTGTTAAAAAAATCAGTATTAAGTCTAATGCTTTCTTTAAAAGTCATATTCTTTGCTTTCTCTGACTATGTTTAAGATTTGTAGCAGGTGTTCATCATGTGTCTGTGTCAATTGTATGGAATAAAAAAAAATCATCCTTCTGGGGATTCGCTGGTGCAAATATTCTTCACTCTGGAACTTTACTTATTTTCATGCACCTTAAATTTTCTCACTGTACCTTCTACATATTTTCCCTGTGTTCTGTATTTTCTATCCTTTTCCCTTTTTGTGATTCATTTTGAATGTTTTCTTTTGACTTATCTTTTAGTTCACTAATTCTGTCTTTATCTGTGCCTAATATGCTGTTATACATATTATTGAGTCCTTATTTTCAGTTAGTGATTTTTTTTCATATTTCTATTTGTTTGACTAAATGTTTAATCTTGTGTTTTACTTATTTGAACATAGTGAGCATTGTCATTTTAAAATCTGGGCATGAGCAGGGCATGCCTATAATCCCAGCAGCTCAGTAGGCTGATGCAGGAGGATCACAAGTTCAAAACTGGCCTCAGCAATTTAGAGAGGCCCTAAGCAACTTAGCAAGATCCTGTCTCAAAATAAAAAATAAAAGGTGTTAGGGATGTTGCTCAGTGGTTAAATGCCTGGGTTCAATCCCTGGTACCAAACCAAAACAAAACAAAACCTAGGCATGACAATTTCACTATCTGAATCACTTTTAGTGTCTGTTCTTGTTCTCTGCTATTTCTCCTTCTTTTCTCTTTCATTCTTTCTCCTCCCACTCCATGTATTGGGAATTGAACCCAGGGGTACTTTATCCCTGAGCTACGTCCCTAACCCTTTTTTATTTTGAACAGGATCTCACTAAATTGCCCTAGCTGGCCTCAATCCTCCGGCCTCAGCTTCCAATGTTGCAGAGATTACAGGTGTACACCACCATGCAGGGCTCTGTTATTTTTATTTCCTTGCATGACTGATTTTTTTTTATTGTGTACTAGACATTGTATTTGCAAAATTGTAGAAATTATTTGAAGTTTACTAGCCAGGCCTGGTGGTACATACCTGTAATCTCAGTGACTTGGGAGGCTGAGACAGGAGGATCACAAGTTCCAGACCAGACCAACTTCAGCAATTTAGTGAGAGCTGGTCTCAAAAAAAAAAAAAAAAAGTTATTTGAAGTCTAGAATATGCATTTTATTGCACAGAGGAGGAGTTTAGTTTGCTCTGCCAAGTGCTTGGGCATTAGCTCAAAGGAATTACCCTATCTAAATTCAGGGTTGAGAAGATTCAAAACTGAGCTGTAGCCCCTTTACTTTTAGAGTGTAGTTGTTTGGATTCCTAGCCCCAAACAAAGTAGATTCTATAGGGTTCTTCTTCTTTCCCCATAACATGCCCTGAACATTAATTTCTGTTCCTCATTTCTGTTCATTCCCTCATCAACTGTTTGGAATGGACAAGTACATTTCCTTGGATCTCCACCATTCCTCAGGTAATGGCCTCATAATTCCTCATTAAGTTATTAGCTCTCCAATGCCTTTAAGCTGACATTTTAAATATTTTTGTTGAGTTTTTCTTTTTCTGTTTCTCAACAGGAGGATTTATAGGGTTTATAGAAATGTAGATATTATTACATATAAGTGGTTGCTTTTAAGAAGTACATTGAAAAAGATCCCTAAGGGGGGAATTAGACTTTTATTTATTTTTTAAAATTTTTTTTTTAAAGAGAGAGTGAGGGGAGAGAGAGAGAGAGAATATTAATATTTATTTTTTAGTTATCGGTGGACACAACATCTTTGTTTGTATGTGGTGCTGAGGATGGAACCCGGGCCGCGCATGCCAGACGGGCGTGCTACCGCTTGAGCCACATCCCCAGCCCCTAAACTTTTATTTTTAATTCTCACTTTTTAGCACAAGTGGTAGGCTAATACTTAGGAACATTTTATCCCCGTCCTGGTATCATATAATTTGAGGGAAGTTATTTCTTTTATTGACAAGTATTATTTCATATCACCTCTATATCAAGAAGTTGTCCTATGAAATTAGACTATTCAGATGAAAAATATGTGGTCCTTTTCCTTATGGGGCTTAAGTCTAGATTCCTTATTCATAAACCGGTTATTTTTAGAGCTATACATTCATGATCACACTCTAGTTAAAACAGTCTTTGTTAAATACATGTAGCATTACCAATGATAAATGCACTGAAGACATAAACACATACTTGAGTTCTTACTACTTTTCAGCCTAAATATGAGAGAATTTTAAATAATATATTTTCTAATGTATTTATCTTTTAGTAATATTTACCATTGAATGAATATGTTTCTTTGAAGTCTTTTGGAGAAAGAAGAATAAAGCTTCACAAGAGATCCTGAATGCCAGGATTCTCTTTTTCCTAAAGAGATAAGTTCTGTCTTCCTAGCCTTATTATTTTTATAAACTCCTGGAAAATTACTTAACTCTGAATCATCATTAATTTTAATAGGCTCTTCTCCTTGACAGATGTTCAAAGTCCTCTAAAATAGCCTCTAGGAATACAAGTATCCCTGGACTTTAAACTAAGAGTGTAACATATTGGTGTAGAGACTTGAGCTTTACCCACAGATAGTATTTAAATGTGTGCAATGAGCCAGGCACAGTGGTGCTGTCTGTAATTCCAGCTATTTAGGAGGCTGAACAAGGAAGATTGAAAGTTCAAGGTTAGCCTCAGGTACTTAGGGAGAGATTCAGCAATTTAGAGAGAATGAGAATGTAGTTCACTGGTATAAGCACCCCTGTGTTCAATCCTCAGTCAAAATAAAATAAAAGTGCCCAGCATCTCTGGGTTTGATTAGTCAGTGAAGAAGACCAACAGAGAGAATTTAGTAAGGGTACAATAGATTCATCTATTGACCTCTAATGAGTTCTACAAATTCTGGATTTATTTTCTAATCCATAATAGATTGAGATCCTGGATGATGTATTTCAGCTCTGAAATTCTGTGATTCTTTTAGATTTGAGGAAGAGTACTTAGCCACTTGAGTTCGAGTTGAGGGAAATATATACTAATATATACCTGATATACATGAAATGTATATCAAGTACGAGTTGAGGGAAATATATACTAATATTGTATATCAGGTATATATTAGTATATATCTGTAAGGAGATGAAGACCCTATTTTATGTTAGTGGCCACCACAGCAATGACCAGCAGAGATAATACAAACCAGGCACGAGGAGCATGTGGCCTTTTAGAAGCTGGGTTCTCTCAATCTTTCCTTCCTTCTTTCCTCAGTTCCCTCTCTTCTATACTCTTCTTCCAGGAACTGGTATCATTTTGTCCATATGAGAGGACAATAGCAATTGCTCTGAAGGGAGAATTGGCAGCAACTCTGGCTCCCTGAAGTGCACTGTGCCTTGTAGCCTCTCCCTGTGAACACAGCTGTGAAGCTCTCCAGGACAGTGTAAGGAAAAATATGCAGAACTAGTAGATGACCTTGGACAAATCATGTAAGTGTATTCATCTATGTAATGAAAGGATCAAATACTCCCATTTATTTTTATATATCCTGATGCCTATAATTCTTCAATATTCATTATCCCTAAGGCTTGACCTGTTTTATTTTCTGCAGGCAGCTTGTTTCATATTCAGCTCACTTGATACTCAAAGCCTGGCACATAGTGAATATCTAGTTAACATCTTGTTCAGGAAGGAAATGAACTCTATTAAACATCTACTTAGGTGTCATATCCTTTTCTTTTAATCTACTCAATATCTTTGTGAGAGAGGTTATCACTACTGTAGCGTTTTAAGTTGTAGGTATAGAAATTCAGAGATTTAATTATCAGAATCATAATGATAGCAGTAAATGGAGTTTTAGTTCTGCTGCTGCTTTTTTTTTTTTTTTTTTTTGTACTGGAGGGTGAACCCAGGGGTCCTTTATCACTGAGCTACCTCACCAGTCTTTTTTTTTAAATTTTGAGGCAGGATCTCACTATATTGCTTAGGGCCTCATTAAATTGCTGAGAGTGGCCTTGAACTTGCCATGCTCCCTCCCGAGCCTCCCCTGTCGTCTCCCTACCCCTATTACAGGCATGCGCAATAACGCCTGGCTTTGGTCTGCTTTTTATTATGTATTTGACCGGCTATTTTTCTAAGCTTTAATTCCTCATCTGTAAAGTGAGAATTCATGAGTTAGTACAGGGTTGGTAGATTTAATAAAAACCAAAATCACCAGAAAGTATGTCCCAAATGGAAAGTTCCTATATTAAAATTTTTTGCTACATTTATCTGAATTTCAATTTTAACTGCATACTCCTGTTTTATCTGGAAGAATGTTAAGTTTGCGTTAAGGTTATGACAATGCATATAAAGTTCTTATCACTGTCTGTAGCACTTAGTGAGCGCTCAGTAAACGCAATTCTTACTAATTTTGGATCCGGTTCCAGAGTCCATTTTTTTCCCCCACCACAAGCTCGCGGAGCTTAGTTTCTACAAAATTTCACTCAAGTGAGGGTAACGCTACTTTAAATTTATAGCAATGCTTTATGGTCCCTAAAGCGCTTTTGAGGCTTGGCCAATGGAGGAAAGCTCTTGGGGAAATGACAGAACCTCGGGCAGTACAGGGCAGTCATCGCTAGCAGAGTACTGGCATCCCGGGTCGACCAGCCCAGGCGGCCACCCTCGCCCCGCCCCGCGCCCGCTCGTCCACTCAGCAGCCGCGCCGCGCCTCCGCTGCGCTCCTATAGGTCCTTTCCGGGACAGGCGAGACCTTTCCATTTTCCCGCCTTCCCAGCCCGGGTTCGGCCCAAATTCCGCACCGGCCCACAGCCTCTCCGCCCTTCCTTGCCTGCGAGCCCCGCCCTTGTGGACGCCGCATTTCATGCCAACACCACCTGCCATTCTGGTCACCCTGCGCTCTGGTCACCCGAGTCGTCCCTTCAGTAGGAGGTGGGAGGGGACGGAGAGGGAAGGGCCGAGCCCTCTCAGTGGGGGTCGCGGGAGGCGGGGACGGAAAAAGGGGCGGAGCCAATTGCCTAGGCGCCGCGTTGCCATGGCAGTGGGGCGGGGGGAGGAGGGGGAGGAAGCGAGCCGGAGGGGGATGTGGTGCTGCCGCGGCCGCCACCGCAGCTGCCGCTGCCTGCTTGTTGCCGCGTCTTCCCGGAGGCGGCTGCTGGAAGCCACAGGGAGCAGCTGCGGTGCTCTGCCATATTGTGTCTTTCCCGGCCCATCCCTCGCTTCCCCGCTGCGGCGGCAGAGCTGACGGTGAGTCCCGGGCGGAGCGGCGCGGCTCCCGGGCGCTGAGGCAGCGCGTGCGGCCGGCGCCGGGCGTGGGTCGCGGAGGCGGCTGTCCCGTGACGCGCCCGGACATTTTCGTCCCGTGAAGAATTGGCGCCGGCGCGGGGGTGTCCCCAGCACGCGGCTTGGGATCGCTTGTGGGCTCCCGGGGGTGACGAACTGAGGGAAGTGTGGCCCCGTGAGGAGTTAGGAGTTTTTCCTGAGAGGTAATGATCGCCCGGAGGGAGTGTCGCGGCGGAAACCGCGACACGAGTGTCGGCTCCCAGCAGACTGGGGGATAGCTCCGAGGACGCCGAGGGCTCGTCCGCGGGGCGATCTGCTGTTGGGGAAGTACCGCAAGCCTTTCGGGAGCCTTTGCAACGCTGTTTCCCGGCTCCAAGTGGAACGAGACGTGCCGGGCGTGGAGTCCTCGCCCGGCCCAGGCGGGACTGGCTGGGCCACGCGAAGTAGTGCCCCGGGAGGCGGCCAGGCGCGAACTTCGGGCTGCGGTGCGTTGGGTGGACGGGCGTGGGTCCCGGATGTCGGGATGTTGGACCCGGGCACCCTCTTGTCCTTCCTCCAGCGGGCGCCCGGGGCGCCTCCGAGGGTAACTGTTGGCGTGTTGGGAGTTAGTGTTTTAGCGCTGCAATATGCACACTTCCTGTTCACCGCCCCCTTTGGGGCCATGGTTGCCTCTGCCCTTTGGTCCACTCTTTCCAGGCAGAGGAAGAGATCTGTGGTGGGAGAGGCCCATCAGCCTTAAGAGTTTGCCCCTGTGCAGTAGCAGCCTGCTTGGAACCCAGAACAGTGGGAGCCGAGGGAAAGCAGTCCAGGTGCGTAGCCCTCGGTGCTCCCCTCTTCTTTAACTCCACCCCCATTTCCCCCTTGCAAAATGCCTCTGTTCCCTTTGCAGCTCCGGGGAGTTAGGGTAGCCAGTTGCGTGGAAAGCCGCATTCTAGGGATCTTCTTGCACTTGATTTCTGCTTTAAAGTCGCATTAACACAGTCCTAGTACTTCGTTTTCCCTTCACGAGGAAAAAAGTCTTAGCGTGCAAAGAAAGAACAGACTTTTTTCCCCTTCTACCTCTACTCTGATGTGCGAGGAGGAGTGAGGTTATTTATTTTCAGGTTAGTTGATGCTGTTTCTCCTCTCTTCCTTCCGATTGTGACAGCCACGTGGCCGGCTGAGTGCTATAGAGTGCCCTAGCGGCGCTAGGGGCTGAGGCTTCTCTGGTAGCCAAGGGGTTTTGAAACTGCTGTAGCTTCACATACAGATTTATCTTGGTGCATTTTGAGTTGGGGAAGAGGAAAAAGAGGAATCGTTCAAGTCTGTATAAGTATCATTCGACTCTTAAGACTTAAATGTTTCTTTTGCAGTCCTGAAAAGGTGTGTGTTGACATTTTTGCCGTCTTACGTTGTTTTGATGATTTATCTTTTAAAATGTTAGCAGTTTTAGGTATCAGAGTAATGGGAAGTAATAGTGCATTATGGAATTTCCCGACTCTGAGAAAAAAAAAATCTGAATTTCAAAACCCTTAATGACTGACTTTGTAATCAGAAATAATCACATTTGGGTGGTTTTTGTGTGTGTGGTTTTAGAAAAATATCAATTTTTCTCGTTTTACATATAAATTATGACCTGAAATGCATAAAATTACAGCGAAAATACTTTTTTTAGGGATAAAATAGATACTAGTTTGATTTGTGTATATGCAGTTTCTTAAACTTTTGAAAAAAATATTAATACGAACCTTAACATAAACAGATTTTATTTCAAGGGAGTGAAATTTGATTTTTAGAATATATAAAAGGGAAAGGTCAAAGAGTTGAAGATAGCTGGGCACAGTGGCGCATGCCTGTAATCCCAGTGACCTGGAAAACTGAGGCAGGTGGATTGCAAGTTCAAAGCTAGCCCCCAGCAATTTAGCCAGGCCCTAAGAACTTAGTGATACCCTGTCTCAAAACAAAAATAAAAAGGACCTGGGGGTGTAGCTCCCAAGGTCCAATTCCCAGTACCTCCTACCCTTCAAAAAAGTCAGAAGTTAACTTTTGGAGATTGGGGAAAATTTTGAATTAAGTACAGTCTTTAGTACTTACTAATGCGTGGGGTTTCATTTTGTGAATGTTTTGATGGATTTGTATTATTTCTGTAACAAGTTTTTATTTGAATCAGTCTTCCTAAAAAATGCTAATTAACAGGAAATATTTAAATCTGTAAAAGAATTGTGTCAAGAGTCATAGCAACACTATTTATTTGAATTTTAATTGCTGCTTAACAATTGTACTCAGTCATGTTAATAGGGGAAAATATTGAAAAGGTACCATAGGTGTCAGTGCAGAAAAGAAAGTACAGTTGAAAAATAAATGTATATACTGACCACTGAGACCAGTGCTTAGTTGAGATAGAAAAGTAAATGAGATGATGAGATCAGTAGGGAGCCCTGAAATCATGCTCTAGGGTAACTAATTTATATCATTAGTTTATGAGATTTGACTATCAAAATGAAACTTAAAAAAAATACCAACCAAAAAGGACTTATTCTTTTGGCACCTTATTGCTTAGTACTTGTTGGTGGTACCCCTCTGCTGGTAGGCTATCCTGGCCCTTGGTTACTGGAAATTGAACCAAGAAGCGCTCTTCCTCTGAGCTACATCCCCATCCTTTTAAAATTTTATTTTGAGACAGTTTCAGGCTTGGCAATTTGCAGTCCTCCTGTCTCAGCTTTCCAAGTTGCTGGGAATAGGTATTACCAAACCCAACTTAATTTCCTTATCTTTTTGGTTGTTGTTATGCTAGTGACTGGGTTTTGTATAAATGCAAAAATGGTACTCCAAAAGTAGTCTTGAGACCCCCTATACTTTCTTGATTACTTAAGGAAGAAAAAAGAGGTCTAGATTTGATCCTTGTTCTTAGGTTAAAAACCATTAGTACACTTGGAAAAAAAGTTTACACTGTGAGAAGATATAGTTAGAAGTAGAACTGTGTGATTCAGTCAGGTGCTGTTATGAGTTAAAAGGAGAGCAAGACCTTAGAAAGTTTGAGTAGATAAGGGAAGGCTTTTTGCTTTCTCAAGTAGAACTTTCATGTTACCCCCATTAATCTTGCAGATTGTATCATTCAAAGGAACACATCCCTTATATCAAGCATGAATGGCTTCTTCTCAAGACCTTTCAAACTTTGTTTCCAGTCTTCTCCCACTAACCTACAGAAACTGTTTATTATTCACTACCTCATTGTGGTATAACAATCTTACTTCTTTATAATTAAACTGATGTAACATTTTTCTGTTGCAAATCCACATGTATATATCCTCTTGACTATTGAAGATCTACTTAATCTTGAGGCCTGGCTGAAATCTTGACTGCCCTCTGAACCTTAGAATCATAGAACTTTTAGACCCACATTCATCTCTCTAACTGAAAATTCTTTCCCTTTTCTGATAGAATATAATTCTTTTGGAATATAGAATTCTATACTGCTTTGTTTTCATTTAATAAATATTTCTGAGGATTTATCATATGCCAGGCCCTGTTATAAGGAACTGAGAATATAATATTAACAAAATAAATTCTCATATACTTTGTTATATTTTAAATTTTATCACCCCAGCTGGATTATAAGGTCTTTGACTTAAAGGAGACTTATTTTCTCAGACATGTTATATGCTTAGTAAGAATGTAATAATTTTCTGTATACAGGGATAATAGAACTTAGGGTGTGAGGACTTAAAAAAAACTGTGTTTACAAGTGAAGGGTAAAAATGAATAACTATGGATGGTCTTGAAAACGTTGCTTTGGAGTTTAAATATGGTTTGGTACCAAAATAATAATAATAATAATCATTATCATCATCATCATCATCATCATCATCTGGAGAATGACATAAACACCCCACCCCTTTTGTGGTATTGGGATTAAACCTAGTGACATTCTACCACTGAGCTACATCCCAACCATTTTTAAGCTTTATTTTGAGTCAAGGCATTGATTAGTTGCCCAGCCTGGCCTGGAACTTGGAATCATCCTCGTCAGTTCCACAAGTTGTGAGTTGCTGGGATGGCAGGCATGTGCCACCATGCCTAGCATAAAATCCTTATTTGAGGAAGGCTTGTTTGACTGCAGTATATGTAGGACTAACTGGAATGGAGGGGAATTGGAAAGAGAACCATTGAAGGGAAAATGAATAATTGCAAGGGAGGTTTAGAAGGTGTTCATTATCAAGAAGATGTTGAGTTTAGTTAGTTGAATATAAGATGAGTGGGAGATATTAAGGTAAACATGATCTGTAGTAAAGATGTAGGGAAATGAAGAAGTGACAGAGTTAACTAATTTTTATGAGTCCATAATTGAAGTGTTCAGAAATAAGAATGCTTTGGGAAACTAGAATTTAAGGGGCATTTATTTGTTTTGGTCTATCTAATTTCATAATGCTATAGACTTGTGTGATACCTAGGTCTATCTATTGTATTCATAACCGTTATTTCCATCATATGAGAATACTGTCTTGCCACCAAATAAAATAATGTATATCATCATTTATTCTCAAGAGAAATAGTTTTACATTTATGGGAAAATTGTAAGACAGTATACAGAGTATACTTCACCCAGTTTTCCCTATTGTTAACTTCTTACATTACTAGGGTACATATGTCACAACTAACTTTTTTCATTTTTGATGACTAACAGTATTAAGTGTTAGTCAGAAATTTTATAGAATGCCCCTTAACTGAGATTTGTATGATATTTTTCCCATCAGGAAACTTGGGTGGTGGATTTTAGGGAGGGAGACCCAAGATCAGTACTTCACTGATACCTTTAATCACGTGATTGTCATCTTTGCCAGGTTTGACCCACCCTCCCCCTTCTGTACTGTATACTTTGGAAACAAATCACTAAGCAATTAAAGGCCCTGACCTAATTTTGTTCGTGTTTTTTTTTTTTTTTTACTTCCATCAACTTAGTTTTCTTTTCCATAAAAAAAAAATTTAAACTCAAGTATTTATTGTGTATCTACTGTATTTAGGTGCTAAGAGAAGAGTGATAAGTGAGAGACATTATTTCTACTCTCTGTAGTTGGCCACATTCAAACATGAAAAAGTATTTACCTCCTCACCACAGGTCTTGATTTTATTGACGTTTATTTTATTTTTAAAATGTATTTATTTATTCTTATTAGGTATATATAATAGCAAAATGCATTTTGGTTCATTGTACATAATTGCAGCACAACTTTTCATTTCTCTGGTTGTACATGATGCAGTATTGCACTATATGTGCAGTCACACGTGTACCTAGGGTAATGATGTTCATCTCATTCCACCCTCTTTCCTGCCCCCATATTCCACGTCCCCTCCCCTCCCTTCCCCTTCGCCCAACACTGTTCCTCCATTTCCCGTCCCCATTATGGATCAGCATCCACTTATCAGAGAGAACATTTGGCCTTTGGTTTTTTGGCTTGGCATGATATTCTCCAACTCCATACATTTATCTGCAATTGCCTTTTAATGCTGAGTAATATTCCATTGTGTGTAATTCAAAGAAATCTGGAGAGATGACTTTGAGCAGTTTTGAAGCATGGGATAAAGGACCTTAAATCCCTCCAAAAAGCTCAAGGATTGAAAGAGCTTAGAATATTAAAGAAGCTTGGGGTGGTATGAAACAAACTGGATTCTGTATTTTTATGTCTGTATTTTTGGGAATTTATAGGCCAACATATCAAAGATTTTAGGTTTTATTAGACTGATGATTTTTCTGGAGTCATAGTGATGTTTCTTTTCTAAAAAGCAGGTAAATATGTATTTGGTTCCATCATACAGTCCAAGGAGAATTTTA